TGTGAGCCATTGCTACTGCTGCTGCTGCTGCTGCTGCTGCTGCTGCTGCAGCTGCTGCTGCTGGCATTGGGTTCATTCGATGCCTCCCTGCTACTGCTGCTGCTGCTGCTGCTGCTGTTCCTCCAGCTTCCGCTGCTCTGGCTCCTGGTGGTTCTGCTGCTCTCGCAGTCCCTGCAGCTCCTGCTGCTGCAGCTGCTGTTATTGCTGCTGCTGCTGCTGCTGTTGCTGTTGTTGTTGCTGCTGCTGCTTTCGTTGCTGCTGCTGCTGTTGTTGCTGCTGTTGTTAATGCAGATGTTGTTTGTGTGCTGCTGCAGCGCATGCAGTTGCTGCAGATGGAGAGCAGCTTGTGCTGCAACTAAAGAAATGCAGCTACATTTTGTCTTTCTGAACTTAAATACAAATGAAGGCTTTGGGGTGTACGTGCAGACCAGCTGCTGCCCCCCTTCACCTACAACGCGCCATTTGTCTTTATCTATCTTATGATGCTGCAGCACTTCTGCTGCTGTTGCTGTTGCTGTTGCTTCTTCTTGTGCATGCTGCATTTGCTACTCTGGGCTCTGTTGCCGCTGCTGCTGCGGCACTTCCTGTAGCGGCTGCTGCTGCTGGACTACTTGTTGCTGCTGCAGCTTTACCGGTTACTGCTGCTGCTGCTGCTGTTGTTGTTGTTGTTTTTCTATGAGTTGCTGCTGTTGTTGCTGCAGCCGCTGCTGTTTTTCGGTCTTTTGTTGCGGCTGCTGCTGTAGTTGTTGGTGCTGTATTAATATTTGTTTGTTTTTGCGCATTTCTATTTCTTTTCCTGTGCTTTGTTTGCTTTACTTGTTTTGTTTGTTGCCGATGCATGCAGCAAATGTTTGGAGGGAATGCTGCAGGTTTTGTTTATTCTTCTGCTTTTCTCTCTTCATCTTTTTGTTTGTTTGTTTTATTTTTATTATTTCAGCAAGAAAAAAACAAATACATTTTCTGTTTGCCGTTGAAGGCAAACCGGAAGTAGAAGAAGAAAGCAGCAGACAGCCGCCGGGCTTTTAGGGTTTTTCGTGATAAATGCAGCTAAGATAAGGGATAAAGACAATATAAGCATTAAATTAAAGTATATTCAAAGTAAAAAGAAACAAATAAAGAATATTCAAAAGAAAGACATTAAGAGTTTTCATGCATATTCAACAGTCGATCATAGGAACACCGTTGCGGTGTATAGGCAGCTTGTTTTGTTTCTTTAGCAGTTTCTTGAATAAATTGTCCAATTTTTTGCATATTCATAGATTTACGTAAATTTATTTTAAATTTATTTTAACTATTTCAACTGAAAACAGAAAAAGAAAATCCCTTTAAGCCGTCGTTTGCCTTCGGTCTTTGTCTATGAAACAACTCTCATTTGCAATGAACGAAGAAGAAAACAGCAGGGAAAACACCGAACAAAACAAGTAAATTAATAATAATTATATTATTAATATATATAATATTTATAGGATTTATGATAAACTTATGAGGAGGCGCTAACAAATACAAGGAAGCCTTCATGCAGCCCCTCCTATGCAACGCAAGCAGTAAAAACTGATTTCAAATAAATAAATAAATAAATAAATAAATAAATAAATAAAATATGAATAGATAAAAACGAAATAAAATAAGTAGATAAATAAAATATAAATAAAACTACTGCAATTGTTTCCTCCAGTTGAGTGTGAATTATATTGAATATGAAGATATTATCAAAATCTAAGAAGCGATCCGAAGGCGTTGAATATATCTTTCCTTCTGTTCACTGACAACACTTCAAGAAGCTGCTCAAACCCTAAACCCTAAACCCTAAACCCTAAACCCTAAACCCTAAGCCTTCATCCCCTGAGGAGAGGCAATCTTAGAACAGCGTCTAAACCGTAACCCTAAGCCATCAGCATTCTCTTTTCTTTTTCTGCTGCAGTTTTGTTTGCAGTGCCCCTAAATTCAACTAATGATTAAAACGCGAGAAGAATAAACAGAAATAGAACAACACAAATATGCATGCATGCATAACATGCATGCGTATTTATTTATAGTAGCAAAACGAGAAAAAAAAAGAAAAGAAACAGAATAAAAGGAAGAGGCAAACGAAGAAAAAAAGAAAAGCAAAAGAGCTTTCTATTTGATAAAAATAGAGCAGCAAGCGATATAAAAACAAATTAAGAATAAATTAAAAAAATAATGAATACGACAAAGAAAATAAATACAAGCGAAAAAGTCTTAGATATATAAAAAGAGTTTAAATAATAAACGAAAAGAGTTAATTTAATAAGAGAATAAAGTGAAGAAATAAAAGCAAAAGGAGTTTTCGATATAAAAAGAAAAAGAAGAGAAATAAATGCATACATACATACATACAGATATATGTATATCTTATATACACATCTATCGAGAGATATATTTATATATAATATTTTTAATCGTAGGTATATATATACATACATATATATGTATTCATATATATAATATACATTATATATATGTATATTATATATATATA